AAAAAAAAAAAAAAAAAAAAAAAAAGCAGTCATGATACCTGAAGATTGAAATGGTTTTTTTGTGAGGGCGGAGGAAGAGATTATCTTAAGCAGGCTCCACATCCAATGCAGAGCCCCACGCAGGGCTTGATCTCACAAGCTGAGATCATAACCTGAGCCAAAATCAAGTGCTGGATGCTTAACCAACTGAGCCATCCAGGTGCCCCTGAAGACTGAAATGCTTAATGACAGGTTCAAAACCTGTAAGTTGCATTAGCCATCAGGGAAAAGCAAATCAAAACTAAAATGAGATACTACCTCACATCTAAAATGATGGCAATAATCAAAAAGATAGATAATAACGAGTGTTAGCAAAGATGTGGAGAAAATGGAACCCTGGTGCACTGCTGGTAGGAACGTAAAGTGGTACAGTCGCTTTGGAAAACAGTCTGGCAGTTCCTCAAAAAGTTAAACACTGGTTACCATAGGACCCAGAAATTTCACTCTTAAGTATATACCCAAGAGAAGTGAAAAGATATCCCCACACAAAAACTTGTACGTAATTGTTCATAGCAGCATTAACTGTAATAATCAAAAAGAAGGAACAATACAAATGTCCATTAACTGAGGAATGGATAAGATGTGGTACATCCACACAATGGAAGATTATTTAGCACTAAAAGGAAATGAGGTATAATACATGTTATGTTATCACATGGATGAACCCTGTAAACATTAGGCTAGGTGAAAGAAACCAGTCACAGAACATCACATATTGCATGATTCTATTTATACAAAATATCCAGAAAAGGCAAATTCATAGGACAGAAAGTAGACTGATGGTACCTAGGACTAAAACTTTAGGAGGAAATGAGGAGTCACACTGCCAATGGGGTTTCTGATGAAAATGTTCTAAAATTGATCATGGTAATGGTTGCGTAACTCTGACTACACTAAAAATCACTGAATTATATATTTTTATTTTGTTATTTTTTTAAAGATTTATTTATTTGAGGGAGGGAGAGAGCATGTGTGCACGTGCGCACATGTGAGCAGGGAGAGGGGCAGAGGGCGGGGGAAAGAGAGAACCTCAAGAAGACTTCCCGTCAAGTGCGCAGCGCGACATGGGGCTCAGTCTCACGACCCTGAGATCATGACTTGAGCCAAAATTAAGAGTCGGATGCTCAACTGACTGAGCCACCCAGGCAACCCTGAATTACATATTTTAAATGAGTGAATCATATAGTATGTGGATTGTATCTCAATAAAGGTGTTATATTCAAACTACCTCTAAGTAGGAAAGAATAACTAGACTGTGCGAGGCGAACGTGATAACCACTACACTACGGAGGATAACTAGACGTGTGCACAGAACATTTTCTTACACAGAGCTCTAGTGCTAAATGAATATAAATCTGGATCCACACAATTTAGAAGATACAGATTCCTGCATAATTCAACTCTTTTATGTCAGAAGGTTAGTTAATAATGGCATATCTTAAGAGTTCTGAAGTAAGATTTAAAGACTAGGACATTTTCAGAATGTACTGCTGATAGCATTAAATGTCTAATAAAACTCTGTCTATACCTGCACTGTCCAAATTAGTAGCCTCTAGTCATACGTGATTATTTAAATTTAATTAATTTAAATTAATTAAAGTGAAAAGTTTACTTTCTCAGCCTCACCTGCCACTTCTAACTGCTCAGTAACTACATATGGATAGTGGCTACCATATTGGACATCACAGGTACAGAATATTTCCATCATCACAGGGAGTTCTATTGGATGGTACTGGATACAATATATCTTCTGAACCGAAGAATTTAGAGTATACTCTAGAGCTCTAGAACTTTACATAGTGATGTTAAAATGTACATCACCTCAGAGGATCTATGTATATTTCCAAACTTAAAACTGACCATCCAGAACAAAATAAATACCACAAACTCCTTTAAATGTTCCCATTGGACAAGGTACATACATATATATAAAATAGTCCAGAAATTTTTTCCCAAAAATTCCAAATATTCTTCTGCAATACTACCACCCAAATGAAAAAAAAAAAAGTATTCCATCAGAACAAGTATAGAGTTTTGGATTCTATTAAGTACCCAAACAAGAGTCTATAGGCTTTGACTTAGTCATTTGAACCATTTTTGATCTTAGTACTCCCAAAGGTAAAACAGTGATTTATTTAGAAAAATCTTAAATAAAATACAATCTAACATCACAAAACATTAACACTAGAACCAAAATGTGGACAGTTACACAACTCTTAGTCCTACAATGGCTCTAAGAAAATCGGGTTGGGGTGCCTGAGTGGCTCAGTCGTTAAGCGTCTGCCTTTGGCTTGGGTCATGATCCCTGCATAGGGCTCCCTGCTCGGCGGGAAGCCTGCTTCTCCCTCTCCCACTCCGCTGGCTTGTGTTCCCTCTCTCACTGTCTCTTTCTGTCAAACAAATAAATAAAGTCTTAAAAAAAAAAAAAGAAAAGAAAAGAAAATCAGGTTAATATTAAATGACTTCCAGTTGGGATCTTTGATATACATCCGAAAGAAATAAAAAGATGTACAGTTGACCCTTGAACAATGGGGATTAGGGGCACCAACCCCCATGTAGTTGAAAACTCGTGTATATCTTTTGACCCCCCCTAAAACTAACTACTACTGTTGGCCAAAAGCCTTACTGATAATATAACCAGTCAATTAATACATATTTTGTATGTTATATGTATTATATACTGCATTCTTACAATAAAGTAAACAAGAAAAATAAAGTACTTTTTTCAAGATTTTATTTATTTGAGAGAGTGAAAGAGAGAGTATGAGAGGGGGGAGGGTCAGACTCCCTGCTGAGTGGGGAGCCCAATGCGGGGCTCGATCCTGGGACTCCAGGATCATGACCTGAGCCGAAGGCAGATGCTTAACCAACTGAACCATCCAGGCACCCCAAGAAAAAAGAAAATATTAAGAAAATTTTAAGGAACAGAAAACAGATTTACAGTACTATACTGTAGTTACTGAAAGAATTCCATGTAAAAGTGGACCAGCACAGTGCAAACTGTTGTTCAAGGGTCAACTGTACTTTGACAAAAAGGAACACACAAACTGTCCTAAAGTATAAATCTACAAATAGTTTAGGGGTTCAAGTCCTGATGGAGTCCTCTTCCAACCTAAACTTTCTAAAACTAAGGTCAGGTCCTAAACAAAGAAAATAAAACCTGAATATGGGATTTTAGTGCTGATATATTTCAAACAAGTTTTAGAAGGAGAAGCTACATGTAATTTGAATTTGCAGCTCCTGGTCAGACAGATCCTAAATGTGCTAGAAAAGCTTTCACTTGGGGGTAGGGTGGAGAAGACAATGGAAGAAAAGAAAAATACTTTTTGAAATGTAGATAATTATCCCAAATCAAGGGTCAAAACAAGGTATTTTTATATAAAGGCTCAGATTCCATGAGAGGAAAAATTATTACTCTAACACCAGGTTTCTCAACCTTGGTGCTACTGACATTTCTAGATACTTCTTTGTTGAGGTGTGCTGTGCTGTCCATTGTAGAGAGTTAAGTAGCATCCCTGGCCTCTTCCCACTAGATGCCAGCAGCAATGCACCCTCAACCCCTAAGTGTGACAACCGAATGTCCTGGGGCAGGGGAAGGGGTGACACGCACAAAGTTGCCCCTAGTTGAGAACCACTGGCCTAACCTTTACTTTTATTAGCTAATCTTCCTTCCGTCTTTCTTCTTTTCAAAAAGCCACCAAGTACCGCCAAGAGACAGACTTATACTAAAATAATTATTCACTGTTTACCTAAAATTTACCTGGGCATTTTGTATTTCTTTTTGCTAAATCTGGAAACCCTATGTGCAACAGAAATCAAAGATCTGGAATGTCACGGTCCCACGCTAGATATCTCCCTCACCACTTCCACCGTGCTCATCAAAACAAGTTAAAGATTCAAAGAAAGATTACCAGAGATTCTCTGATAGCCCGTCTTGTTCGAACCCCAAGGATATCACAAGGCCTTGCTGATCCTAAACTATGCTACAGTTCTATGGGGGACTTACCATTGGGGTCCTTCCTGAATAGAGTGTTCATCACTGTCGCATGGAGTTTCACACTATTCCACTCTTTCACTATTAGTCCAGATGCCTGAAAACGTTCCAGCACTCGATCGACTAATTCCTGCAGCCTGAAGAAATCGAAGGAAGAAGTATAAAAATCTTAGTAAACTCTGAACTCCTGATTACCGATTCAATGTTGACAGAGTATCTGTTCTGGGCCAGTCACTGTACAAGACCCTGCAAAGGCTACAGTCCCCACCATCATGGTGTTCACAGCCTTGTGGAACAGATGGACATGGAAACCGTAACACTGAAATACATCATGAGGATTGTTAAGGGAGGGACCAACCATACATGGAGAGGGCAAGGTTCTTACAGGAGGTTTAAACATGATCTTGAAGGAATATGGAAGCTCAGCATCTCAGGATAGGGCTCAAGAAGCCAGACTCAACAGAGAGTTGCCTGAAAAGAAGTGCTTTATTGCTTCATCCAGTCAGAGACCCTAAAGCTCCCATGTGTTATGTTTCTGCCAGGATCAAAGGAGGTCTGGTACGATTTTAAGACATTTGCTCCCTGGGAAGGAGCCTGCACTCTGAAGATCCCAGTAGCCTTGGACACTGTCCCAGTGTTTCACTGAGACTGAAGTGTAGTACCGATAAAGACAACTATAGGAAAATCCATTGGCTGCATGACTCTTCCCCAGGTGGGCTCCAGGTAGCTCTAAGCAGTAAGGGCTCTGCAGTGGCTGAGTTCTAGCTTGACGATGGCCATTCATTCTAATACCTCTCCCAGAAGCAATTCTTTTTTTTTTTATTTTTTTTATTGTTATGTTAATCACCATATATTACATCATTAGTTTTTGATGCAGTGTTCCATGATTCATTGTTTGTTCATAACACCCAGTGCTCCATGCAGAACGTGCCCTCCTCAATACCCATCACCAGGCTAACCCATCCCCCCACCCCCCTACCCTCTAAACCCTCAGTTTGTTTTTCAGAGTCCATCATCTCTCATGGTTCGTCTCCCCCTCTGACATACTCCCCTTTTCTTCCTCTCCTGTTATCTTCTTCTTTTCCTTTTTTCTTAAAATATGTTGCGTTATTTGTTTCAGAAGTACAGATCTGTGATTCAACAGTCTTGCACAATTCACAGCGCTCACCGTAGCACATACCCTCCCCAATGTCTATCACCCAGCCATCCCATCCCTCCCACCCCCAACCACTCCAGTAACACTCAGTTTGTTTCCTGAGATTAAGAATTCCTCATATCAGTGAGGTCATGTGATACATGTCTTTCTCTGATTGACTTATTTCACTCAGCATAACACCCTCCAGTTCCATCCACGTCGTTGCAAATGGCAAGATCTCATTCCTTTTGATGGCTGCATAATACTCCATTGTGTATATATACCACATCCCAGAAGCAATTCTTGCACAGAAGTTTTCATCCTGTTCAGGGGTTTTGCTCAATAGCCTGAAGAACTCCCTTTAGGGGCGCCTGGGTGGCTCAGTCATTGGGCGTCTGCCTTCGGCTCAGGTCATGGTCTCGGGGTCCTGGGATCGAGCCCCGCATCGGGCTCCCTGCTCGGCGGGGAGCCTGCTTCTCCCTCTCCCACTCCCCCTGCTTGTGTTCCCTCTCTGGCTGTCTCTCTCTCTCTGTCAAATAAATAAAATCTTAAAAAAAAAAGAGGAACTCCCTTTAACATTTCTTGTAAGGCCATTGTAGTGGTGATGAACTCCGTCACCTTTTGTTTGTCTGGAAAACTCATTTATCTCTCCTTCAGTTCTGAAGAACAACTTTGCTGGCTATGCCGACAAGAGGGGTCAGCGATCCAGCAGGTGTGTGGTGAGCAGACGATGGTCCGAGGCCTCAGGAAGCAGCCATCTTCTGTGACCACCCACTCATCTGATGGTAAAATGCAGCCTGTGGCTTCTACATATTGTGCCAGAATGTCTACTCTGAGACGGAAGCAGCTCATGCTGGATATGTGGCGGGTCCCCATGAAATGACAGGGCAGGGCGTCTGGGGGCAGTCACAGGGCGCAGCCTGCCCCTTACAACCTTCCCCTCACCCTTCTCTGAGATTTGTGCTGATGCTCATTGACTTCTCTGGCGCCAAATCATCCTCCGTGAGTCACGAGTGTACTAATGAACAACAGATTTCACATTTTTAGATGGACTAGTAATACTCTTTGTGTCAACATCACCTCTTTCCTGGATACAGGTAGCCCTGAAAAATTTAGAGTTCATGAATCTTCCATCACTTCTTGGGCCATGGCCCACGTGTAATGGTCCACAGTGTAAGCACTGTGGCCAGTGAGCAGCTGCTTCTTGAGCAAGGCTAGACAGCTTTCCTTTAAGTGAGATGGGGGCCAAGCCTAGCCTGTGCGGCCCATTTGTGGGAGCCTGCCTCAGGCAGAACACGCCGGCTGCAGCAACTCAGTTGCTTGATGTCTGTCTCCAAGTGGACAGCAGCCCCTAGTACCCCAACCCTCCAGGGATCTTCCCCCCATTTAGACATGAGCAAAACAACTCTTTTTGCTTGCACTGCGTGCACTGCAGCAAAAGAAAGTTATTGTCCCCCAGAAATTGACTCGGAAACACAATTATTTTCCTTTTCATGGTTTTCAGGCTCTAAAGTTCCAAATTAATCTTCTTAAAATCTACTTTAATTGCTTTTTATGAAATACTGTCTACTAATCAAGAAACATGTATAACATGAGTAAGCCATAATTAATAATAATAACAATAAAGTAAATACCCATGTCCCCTCTACTGAATTTCAGAACCAGAACACAGGGCTGGGACTGGGGCCGAAGTAAGTGAGGAAATGACTTCGGGCACAAAATTGAAGGGGGTGCCAAAAAACGCAGTAACCAAAATAAATGTTTTAATGCAATATTTTAAAAAATCAAAATGCCAAAAAAAAAAATCCATGATGAACAGAATATCAAAATGTTGAATGAAGATGAGATCAATGTTGCTGAGTTATCCCTTTGCGTCAGGCTCCAGTGTGGCCTGGCACAGGGTAGAACATTACAACACACCAGTCCCTCAAGATGCTCCGGGCTCTGGAGAGCCCCGTGATTCCACACAGCCTCGTGACCTCGGCACTCCTCAACACGCACGTTTTCTTATCAGGCTTCCTCCACTCAGCTTGACAGCTGCCACCTCTGTGCCTTTTGTTCCCTGAGCCACAGGATCCACCCCCTCCCTCCACCTATGCAGATCTTATCATCCTTCCAGGCCCAACTCAAATCTCACTTTTCCATGAAGCCTTTCTAAACACCCTAACACCCCATTCACTCCCCTGTACCTGTGAGCACTGATTCTGCCCTTCTCTGAAATGCTGCTCTACTTACGTGTGCTCTACTTAGCATTCTCAGGGACAGTCCCTTGCTGTTTCAAGTCTCTCTGTCCTGTTCCCCTACTAGATTGCACGCTCCTCAAGAGCGTGTTATATTTTCTTGTATCTTCCAGAACACCATTATATTTGGCTTTCAGTAACTACTGGCTGTGATTGGTTAATTGATGGATGTGACTGGTTAAAAAGTGAGAAGTGAGGAGTGCCTGGGTGGTTCAGTCAGTTGGGTGTCCGACTCATGGTTTCGGCTCAGGTCACAATCTCACAGGTTGTGAGATTGAGCCCCCGAGTCGTGCTGCATGCTTGGCAGGGAGTCTGCTTGAGGTTCTCTCCCTCTGCCATCCCCCCCACTCACACACACACACACACTCTCTCTCTCTCTCTCTTAAAAAAAAGTGGGAAGTGAATGTAAAAAATAAAATAAACATGGTCTTGAAGGATCGCTGAAGACTCGCAGATAAAACTGGTAAGGAAAAACACTTCAAGCAGAAGAAATAGTACAAAGATGCCAAAGCATGCGCGATCACATCTTATTTGGAAAACTGCTGATTACTGAATATAGCTGTAGCAGTGAGTGAAGGAAAAGGAACAATGGAGATGAACTGGATAGAAGTGGTGGTCAGACCATCAGAAGCCACAGAGATTTTAAAAAGAGAATGATGTGGTCAGATGTCCATTTCTGAAAGTTGATGCTGTAGCAGAGTAGAAAACATTTTAGAAGAACAGACCAGAGAGAGAGAGAGGGTGGCTAGAACAGTGTCAGGCATTATTTTAAACACTCGATATCTGTTAACACACTTCATCCTCACAACGTATTATTATCCCTATTTTACTAATGCGGGAACTGAGGCACAGAGAAGTTATAAAACTTGACCAAAGTCACATAACTAACACGTGACAGATCCAAAATCACAACCCATGCCATCCGGTTTCAGAGCATGGGCTTTAAAGACTGTGCTATGAAGGGGGAAAAGGAGGAACATCTAAACTATGGCAGGGGCAATGAGAACCAAGACAAGAGACTGGCTTCACAAGAGCCGTGTGAGAGAGGCTGGTGCCCTCAGACATGGCGGCATTCAAGCACAGAGAGCAGCTGGGGTGACTCACAAGAGTCTGCCTTACAGGACCAGGTGGGCCACTGACCAAGATGGGCAGCTGGGGAGAAGCAATTGCTACTGTCATGCTATGTCGTTCCAAGGAGAGAATTAATACTGTGTATGCTTTTGAATATGTGACATGGGACATCAAGTAGGACAGGTCCAGGAGAGGGATGGAAATACAAGCCTGAAACACAAGAGAAAAATCTGGACAAAAGATACAGATTTGAGGGGTGCCTTGGTGGCTCAGTCAGGTAAGCGTCCTCTTGATTTCAGCTCAGGTCATGATCTCAGGGTCATGAGATTGAGCCCCCTGTCAGGCTGTGCTCAGTGCAGAGTCTGCTTAAGATTTTCCCTCGCCCCCTCCCTCTGATCCCCCCCCCCCCCCCCCCCATGCAACACACAACACACACACACACTCCCTCTCTCTCAAAAGAAAAAAAACTTTAAAAAAAAAAAAATACAGATTTGGGAGTCGTGAGTGCAAAAACAGTAGATAAAAGCATGGGTGAGATGCAGTCACAGTGGGAAGGAGGATTCACAGTAAGCCACAGGGAGAGTGAAGGATGGAGCCCTAAGGGACACGCCTACGGAAGGGGCAGAGAAGGAACCAGCAAAGATCATCAGTAAAGAGGAATAAGAAAAGACTTCAGAAGAGGACTTCAAAA